TGGTCATCTATTGATATCAAATGCTTGAATACCACCAGTGAATAAATAGCGTTAACTCAGTTTTCCATTTAGAAATATATTTTGACTTGAAAAGGACCTGAAGTGCATATACATTCATCCACACTAAGATACAGAAGTCATACCTTATTACAAAGACAAATATTCAGTAGCAGTCCTTTTATTCAAATCATGAATAAGATTTGCATTCTAAATATGCAAATTGAGGGTGATGAACTTTAAGTAAATTGTTCCAGTGCACTAATGATTGTAAAATAAAGTCTGTACTGTATTAAAACAAATGAAGCAATAAGATAAGCATACTAAAATATCCAAAGCCTTTAAAACCAAGAGGTACTTTGTTATACAGATTCCCATGCCCCCTCTACTTTATTCCCAATTCTGAATCCGTGTGTGTTGAAAAGAGGTGTGCTGAGGGAAAGAATAATATTTTGTTTTATTTTTTTAAATAGCTGTTCCAGAGACAGAGATGCAACTGGTCTTAGACGGGTGCTTCGAGTGATATAGATGGAGAACTGAAGCTACCTGCACAAATGATCTCTCCCCCCTTCCTTCTCCCTTCCACTATCTCTAGAACTACCAACTAGTTGGGCTTGTTGGGCAACTTTCTCACAGTATTCAAGTTAAAGCCTGACAGCAAAAGCTAAATCAATGCAACCTGCATCTCAGGAACCATTCAAGTGACTATTTGGTGTCTAGAAAATTTTATGGTTTCCAAACAGATTACCCCTATAAAGACCAAGTTCCTTTGGGAGTTTAAATGTTAATTTTGGCACCTAAACAGTCTCTAAAAGGAGCCAAGTAAGCATTTTAGAGTGCTTTAAAAGATAAACTTCCATGTTAGGATAGTGATGATATACCAATCTCTCATCACGGGAAATACAGCATTCTAAAACTTGCTACCAGACAGTTCAAACGAATTGAACAATGAACAGTAGAAAATAGGGGAGAGGAGAGATGAAGGAACAGACTTGGAAGCAAAACATATGAGGTAGTATCTTCAAGGGGCCCATTAAGTTAGATGTGAGATGATTACATTATGCATATGTATATCAATGTATTAGAGTGTAAAGCTGACACAAGTGAAAGTTAAAAAAATAAAGTTTTCGAGGACCCTGCCCTGGCCGGGTAGTTCAGCTGGTTAGACAATGTCGCCCCATTTGCCAAAGTTTTGGGTTCGATCTCCCATCAGGTGTCACACACAAGAAGCAACCAATGAATGCATCAGTAGAGTAACAAACTGCTCGCTCTCTCGCTCGCTCTCTCTCTCTCTCTCTCTCTCTCTCTCAGCAATCAATAAACAAAAATGTTTTTTTAAAAGTTAGAGGACCCTAATAGCTCAACCACTTCAGAACTCTCACCAGGCTATACCCCAAGCCAACTGAATCACAATTTCTGGGGATGGGATCCAGCCATCAAGGTTTGTAAAGCTCCCCAAGGGATTTCAAAGTGCATCCAAGATTGAGAACCACTGTCCTAAACATTGGGAGCTGAAGAAAAACATTAAAAAAATGAACCCCAGCCCTGTCCAGTTGGCTCAGTGGTTAGAACGTTGGCCCACAGACTGAAAGGTCCCAGGTTCAATTCTTGGTTGCAGGGTCCCCAGTCCCTGCAGGAGCATGTGCAGAAGGCAACCAATCGATTTCTCTCTATCATGTCAATGTTTCTCTCTCCCCCCTTCCTCCTCCCACTATCTCTAGAAATCAATGGGAAAAAAATACCCTCTGATAAGGATTAAAAAAAAAAAAGATGAACCCCACACAGTTATAAATTTTCCAGACTGCAAAGAATTCTCATTTAAAATGTACACAATAAGCCGAAACCGGTTTGGCTCAGTGGATAGAGCGTCGGCCTGCGGACTGAAAGGTCCCAGGTTCGATTCCAGTCAAGGGCATGTACCTGGGTTGCGGGCACATCCCCAGTAGGGAGTGTGCAGGAGGCAGCTGTTCGATGTTTCTCTCCCATCGATGTTTCTAACTCTCTATCTCTCTCCCTTCCTCTCTGTAAAAAAATCAATAAAATATATTTTTAAAAAAATGTACACAATAAAATATAGTTCTTGAGTTTAACAGCATTTACAATTATCACCAAAATTGAAATTAAGATGCAATAACAGATACTCATTACAATCGGCCTCTGGTAGCTTTCTACCATATCCTACCTATGATGCGATTTGCAGTAGCAAATAATCAAGACTTAAATTGGCCCAGCCAGTGTGGCTCAGTGGTTGAGGTCAGCAGTTCAATTCTGGGTCAGTGAGCAGGCCCAGTTGCGGGCTTGGATCCCCAGTAGGGAGCATGCAGGAAGCAGCTGACCCATGATGTTCCTCTCTATCTCTATCCTTCTCTAAAAATCAATAAAAACATTTTTTAAAAAGACTTAAAATTATAAGATTCTGATCACTTATTATTCTAGTTTTACTAGTAAGCACTACTCTCATTTTTATCCACTCTCATGGTTAAAATAAATTTTCCTGGATGCCAATTACATCATGTAATAATGTCAAAGTGACACAACCCAAAATACCTTGTTCCCGAGAACCAGAAATTCAGCCACATTTCTCATCACCAAAATTACACATTTTAGAACAAGAAAAAAAATCCAAAAATTCTAAATCTGACCCATTATCAAGCATATGTTTTGGCATATTATGATGTAAACAGTATCATACTGAAAGTCACTCAAATGAATACCTAGACAAATTTTTCAACTGTCTGAATTTCTCTTTTTAAAACAACTGAATCCTTACCAACTGTTGAGCAAAAAGTCCCAAATTTAATAATTTAACAAAATTGAATGTGTTATGCTAACCTAGCTCCTTTTATTTAGTGTAGAAAATAATAAAATCACTGAAACTAATTAGCTTTATACATGATTAACCATTATCTGAGAGTCACCATTAATCAGCACTTAAGCAAAAAAAACAACAAAAAAACACACACACAGAAAACAAAACTGCCTAACTACACAATCTTATAGAAAAAAAAAAAAAAAAAGGAAATCCAACATGTACAATGAGCACTGAAATGGCTAACATAAGATGTTTAAAAAACCATTCATTTTAAAATCACTGAATAAGCTCAGCCAGTGTGGCCCAATGGTTGAGCACCGCTCTATGAACCAGGAGGTCACGTTTTGATTCTGGGTCAGGGCTTATGTCTGGGTTGCCAGCTTGATCCCCAGCAAGGGGTGTGCAGGAGGCAGCCCGTCAGTGGAGTGGATGAGTCTCATCATTGATGTTTCTATCTCTCACTCTCTCTCCCTCCCTGTCCCTTTTTCTGTCTCTAAAAGAAATAAAAAATTTAATAAATATACGTTTTAAATATAATGAACAGAGCAGATCCTATAGGGTTAACTGCCCTAGTAGAAGCCTCAGCAATTCACAGCTCAATTAGAATGGTGTCTAATGATGTTACTATAACACCAGCTCACTCAGAAAAAAACAGCTTCCAAACCGGAGAGCTGGAGTGTGACTGCACAGCATAAATTAGTTTTATACTTGCTCTTTAACTGGGGGCCGGTGGGGGGGGGGGGGGGAGAATCTGAAGGGAAATGCAGAATAAAGAATTCACACACAAATGGAGATATGGCTAAACTAAAATGTGGTTTAGGAAAGTGAAGTATAGGTTTTTACAAAGATCTGCTGCCTCCTAGTATAAGCAGAGTTCCTTCAAACAGCAGAGACATTTGATCAATGATCCATATAAAAATTATTCTGAAAAATTTCAAAGTGACTTTCTCAGCAGAAATTTTCATTAAACCTGAAACCAATTTAAAGTATTTTTTTTCTAAGCTCAAAATTTAAGATGAAGGCATTTCGCTGAACAGGGAAGTTTCTACTTAGGCACTCCCACTTCAAACATCAAAGAAGGTGCAACCTTTCCCAAAAACCTGGAAAGCTAAGAAAAGGCCACTTCTATTAATAGACTCACAAAATGGTATATCAATTTTGCCTAGAAAGCTTTTAGTTTTAACTCCAACAACTTAAACCTACATAATCTATCACCACTGTTAGACCTAAAGATATTCCAAATCTTAAATGCTTGGCCAGCCTGCATTACATTTGTTCTGTAATAAACCCAATTTAAAAAAAATCGTGACATTATCAAAAAACATTAATAAGAAATCAGATTTTTAAATGTTAATTATATCAATCATTTAGAACTTGAAATGTCATGTACTAGCTTTCCAAAAGAGAAAATTAAATCCTTAGCAGAAAAGTTACACGCTAGAATTTCGTATGCTGTATTTCAACTGAAATATATTTAGACTCTGTTCAACATGGCAAAGGCAATTTATAAAATCTCCAATAAAAATTATTCAAATACAATGTTCCAAATCACATTACTTTACAAAAATATGTACTTTTGAAAGTATTTATTTTCGAATAATCAAACTGCTTACAGAGACTAAAAGGATGCTAATTCTGCCAAAAGTCAAAGGTTGTTAAATAAAAATTAGTCAAGATTACATGCCTTTAGATTGTCAATTCAAATGTAAATGATTCCACATTATCTTATTCTTATTACTCCTAAATAACCGGCAGTTTCACCTTGAAGTATAATGCAAAAACTAAAGGCATTAAGAACTAAATTCAGCCCGGCCGGCATGGCTCAGTGGTTGAGCGGCAACCTAGAACCAGGAGGTCGCTCAGTTCGATCCCCGGTCAGCGCTCACGCCGGGTGGTGGGCTCCGTCCCCGCTGAAAGCCGTGCCGGAGGCAGCCAGCCGATGGATGATTCTCTCCTATCATTGATGTTTCTATCTCTCTCTCCCTCTCCCTTCGTCTCTGAAATCAATAAATATTTTTTTAAAAGAAACTAAATTCAAGTATAAATGAATAAGAAACAAATACATTCACTTTTAAAAATCACTAGGATTCTCAGGGGTGAACACAGCCATCAATCCTCAAGGGGCCTTTCCAAACCTCACCATACACGCAAAGAAACCTTTCAAGTTACCGAAATACGCCCATTTCTCTGAACTTCGAGGTCGGGGTAAGTGATGGAGCCACTGCCCTCCACCCTCCACCCATTTCACAGCCAGTGCGCGGAGCCCCAGCGATAAGGTGGACGATGCCTTTTCTTTCTTGTTCTCCTGGATGAGGGGCTGGGCGGGAGCGGGCGGCTCGGTGCGGCGCTGAGATCGTCTCCTGCGGCCATCGCCCGCCACACTCACACACAGTGAACGAGCACACCCCGGCCGGGACAGACGCTGGCATGGCGCACCGCGGAGAGAAAGGAAGGGACGGAGAGAAGACCAGCGGCCGGAGCAAAGAAAGGAGGACACACCACGTCTAACTCGCGTTCAGGCAGCTCAGGCAACGCTACACTCCAGCCGGCCCCCCGCGCTCGGCCGGGCGCGCAGGGAAACTCCTCGACACAACAAAGAGGAGCGGCCGCGGCCGGGACGCCGTCTCCGAGTTTCACTCGGTTCCGCGACCCACTGCGAAGGGAGCTGGGACCGGAGGGCCGACGCCGGGCCCGAGGGACGCGAGGCGCCGCGGCCCGGCCGGCCCGACCCCCCGAAGGGCGCCCTGGCCCGGCCGGACAAGCGGCCGCGCTCGCCCCCCGCGCGGACCTCCGGCCTCCCGCGCGCTCCCCGCCGCCGCCTTCGGGAGCCCGCCCCGGGCGGGGAAGCCGCGGGAGGGGTGCGCGGGCCCGGCCGGGGGGAAGAGGGGAGGGGACATGGCGCGCTACCTGGACTCCGGCGATGGCGAGGGCGGTCCGCTCTCCCGCCGGGGCTAGTCCGCGAGGGCGCCGGGCCCGTCGCTCCCCCCGGCGGCCCGGAGCCCTCCTCGGCCCCCGCCCCGAGGCGTCCGGGCCAGGCCGCCCCTCCTCGGCGCCGCGCCGCTGCCCGCGCGAGCCGGGCCGCCTCGAGCTCCCGGGCCGCCCCGCCGCGGGGGCCTCTCTCGCGGGGCGCCCGGCTCCCCTCACCCGCTCGCGTCCCCTGAGCGGCCCGCGGAGCCGAGGGCAGGGCGGGAAGGGCCTCCGGAGGAGAGCGGGCGGGCGCGAACGCGGGCTCCGCCACCCGAGCCGCTCCGTTACCGCAGCGGCGACGACGACCAGGGCCGAGGTGCCGCTGCCAACTTGTCGGGAGGACACTGAGCATGCGCGCGGAGACCACATCCGGGTAATTTCAGGGTTTGGCCCTTTCCCCCCTCAGCTTTCCTTTCTCCCGGCTGCCCCCGCCTCCCGCCCGCAGTGCCGGGAGGGCGCTCTGCGCAGGCGCCCGCGGAGGAGGAGAGCCAGCCCGCCCGCGGCCCGCCGGACTCTCCGCTCGGGACCCGGCCCTGCAGGGAGGCGCAGCCCCTCAGAGGTGGGCGAGAAAGGCCGCCTGGAGGGAGCGATCGCCGGAGAAATTGGCATCTCTTCGCAGAAAGGTACCCAAGAAGCGCGGGAGAGCGCGGCGCGTAGGGGCGTCCAGTAAGTGTTTCTAAAGAGCGGCCGGTCGGGCCTGGTTTGGGGGGACCTCCGGGGGCGCCAAAATGAGACTGCAGCTGCTAGCAGTTCTCTTCGGGAGGAAGCCGATGGTGCCGGCCCCTTCCTGCCCTTCCCCCCTGCCCCGATCACTCGGTTCAGAGGCGCTGACGTTGGCGGAACTCTCCCATATGGGGCCACATGACATAAACGGGGTGAGAGAAACGCACTAGATAGTCAGGGAATCGCACACGTGAGAGCCTGGCCGGTGTCTCTAAAAGTTAGTGGTTCTTGTCGGAGAGATTTAGGCGGATCGTCCGGGTTGGAAGGAACCTCTGAGGACCTACGCACACCTGTTAACCAGGTACCCGTCGGGTAGGGGAAGGCCAAACTCTGTTTTACCTCATACTTCTTGTTCTTGACATTTTTACAAGAAGCGCGCGTTTCTTTTACATTTAAGAAGCTTCAGAAAATACATACTATTTTTTTTCTTTTTCACCAACCAGGAAATACTTCTGTGGGGGTTCCACCGAGACCAATTAGAAAGCTCTAAAGGCCTGGTTTAGAGCCTAAAGCCATCTGCTGCTGGGCGTGGAGGAGGCCTTACCTCGGCGGAAGTGGGACTGCCCCGTGGAAGTAGGACTGCCCCGAGCGTCGGCGTCTCCGCCCAGGCCCGCTCCACCATGTCCAAGGTTTCCTTTAAGATCACCCTGACGTCCGACCCGCGGCTGCCCTACAAAGTACTCAGTGTTCCTGAAAGTACACCGTTCACCGCAGTCTTGAAGTTCGCCGCGGAAGAGTTTAAAGTTCCTGCCGCCACGAGTGCCATTATCACCAATGATGGAATAGGAATAAATCCCGCACAGACTGCCGGAAATGTCTTCCTAAAGCACGGCTCGGAACTGCGAATCATTCCTAGAGACCGTGTTGGAAGCTGTTAATGTCCTCTGCTTAAAGATAAATACACCTTTCAAAGTCAATATTGGTATTGCCCATCCGGCGTGGCTCAGTTGGTTGAGGACCGGACCATGCACCAAGAGGTCGCCAGTTTGAATCCCAGTCAGGGCACATGCCCCGGTGTCGGAGGTGATCCCCAATGGATGTTCCCCCCTCATGGATGTTTCTCTCTCTCTCCTTCTCTCTCCCTCTATCTCTAAACTCAATAAAAACATTTCAATAAGTAAATATTGATATTGCTGTTGTAGAACTGAAATCAGGCACTTATTCAACCAAAGAACTTGTATGCATATATGCATAACCCATGGACACAGACAATAGGGTGGTGAAAGCCTGGGGCAGTGATGGCGAACCTATGACACGCGTGTCAGAGGTGATTCATGAACTCATTTTTTTGGTTGATTTTTCTTTGTTAAATGGCATTTAAATATATAAAATAAATATCAAAAATATAAGTCTTTGTTTTAATATGGTTGCAAATATCAAAAAATTTCTATATGTGACAGGCACCAGAGTTAAGTTAGGGTTTTTCAAAATGCTGACACGCCGAGCTCAAAAGGTTCGCCATCACTGGCCTGGGGGGAGGGGGGTTAGAAGGAGCTAATGGGGGAAGGGGGACATATGTAATACTTTTAACAGTAAAGATTTAATTTTAAAAAATAAAAAAGAGCCCAGCACAGAGCAAAAAAAAAAACACAACTTTGAAAATGCCAATAGTTGATGAAATAATGAAAGATGACTCCTTTGTTACTCCCTCTCTTCGTGTGAAGAGAGAATGCTTATGCATTGAGGGTACCATTTTTACTGAAGATCTTAGTCTTTCATTGCTACCTCACAGCATGCACAGCTACTAGTTCATTTGGGGTAAATGAATTATCCAACTGTGTTTTATTACTGAAGGATGCTTCTGAGAATTCCTTCTGAGAACATGTGGAAGATTAAATTTATTGAATCTATTTGTCTTTAAAATTTTAAAAGGATTGGATCATACATGGCAGGTTACTTGACAGGATCTGACTTGCAGACTCAAAAATAGTTGAATTCTTAATTATATCGTGCTTATGATAAAGGATATAGACATATCCATGAATACTTAACCAATTTTTTACATTTAGATTTTTTTTAAGTTTCAAGCTTCATGTGTTCATATAAACTTTAATATCAGAGAGCCAAAAATTGAATTTTCTTATCTAGTCCCATGTGTAAAATTTATATCCCTCACCAAATAGTTTTAACTATGTTCTTGCAGAATCCAATACTTGTAATTGGGAAAAGTAGAAGCATCCATTGCTGAAAAATAATAAAGTCATCTATTAAGTCATATGGCCCTGAAACTCTCTAGTCCCCCTCCTGCCTTTCACACAGTGCCCACCCCTTAGCCCCATGCTGTTCTTGCCATCATAGCCTGAGCGCCTCCCGTTTCTACCAGAAAGCCTCTAAAACTGTCCTCTTCACCAGTGTCCCCTTACCCCTGGGGGTGTGAAGACTTTCTAAGACTAGTTTTAAGGGAATTCATTTACAGATCTTCCTCTGATATCTGTACTATTTTCTGAAATTTCTCAGCTTTAGAAAGCACCTGAAGACATGGCAGCCCCTTTTAAAACTGTCTTTCTCCCACCTTAGAAAAAAGTCAAAAGCCTCACCCATTACGAAGGTACCTTGACCCAACAGGTAAAGACCTCCAGGGTAGTTCACAGGGACAGTTCAAGAGCTGGTGTCTGTGCTGAGAAAGTAAGCTATCCGAATAAAAGGGCCATAAATTCGCTTGTAAGTCCCACTTCTTTATCAACAAAATTAATAATAGGTCAACATGGGATTCTTAGACAATACACCTCAGTTGGGGTTAAAATAATTGAATAACATTGCTATAACTAAACTTCCATTCCCATCTGTACTAGTTAACCTTGTTATATTGGTTAACCTTGTATTAGTTAACCTTGTTGAATTAGTTAACCTTGCTGTATAGCACAGCAGCTTAAAACAACACCAATGCATCGGCTCAGTTTCTGTGGGTCCGGAGTCCACACATGGCTTTCCTGGGTCCTCTGCAAGACCACATCGTGATGCTCGGCTGGGAAAGGATCCGTTTCCCAGTTCACCTGGTTGTCGGCGGCATTCAGTTCCCTGCAGGCTGCAGGACCTGAGGGCCTTAAGTCCCTAGCTGGCTGTGGGCTCCCCCAGTTCTGGGACATGTGACCCTCTCCATGGGGAAGCTTACAATATGGCAGCTGGCATCTTCAAAGCCAGCAAGGGGGACAGTTTTGGTGTAAGACATTGGTTACAACCTTATGTAACATCATCACATACACGTGATCACATATATCCCGACACCTTTGCCATTACTTGACTGGCCAGAAGCAAATCCCAAGTCCCATCCCCATTCAAGGAAAACTACACAAGGGCATGAACACCAGGAGGTGAGGATCATAGGGGCCACCTTAGAGTCTGTCCACCACACCTGTTTATTTATGCAAATGACAATTCCTATAAGCTTAACCTCAGGACTTTTCTTCAGGTTCCCTTCACCTTCTTGCTAAAGGAAACCTGACTTACCCCTGGGACACTGCTTCCCCTTCTCCCTCTCAAGTAGTAGCAACTGTATTTTCAACCATAAGCACCTTAGCCTGTGCCTGGAGGTGAGGCAGGTGTCCTTATTCCTCAGCATGCTTCCAGACCACCCCCTCTCCTCTCTATTAACCTGCAGCTTTAAATCTTGTTACTCAGTACTCCTCATCTTATTCTCATTCCCCTTCAATTTTTCACCATGTGCTCCTGTCAGTCACTCCAATGCCACTTCTGTCTCAACTCTCGGTGGTTATACTATACTATACTAAGATGGTTTTCTCATGGCCTTGACCTCTCAGTTCCTTGACTTCTCCTCCAAGAATCTTGTCCTACCCTAACTCAGCCACTTGCTCCCATGAGTATAATCACAGGAACCTTATCAAACTCTGCAACTTCTTCATACTCACAATTTCAAACATATCACACTCTGAACACCACCTCGTATTTCCTCATTTCCCTATAGCACTCTAACTCCAACAATTCTTCAATCCACACACCCACTTTCTCCCATTCTTACCACGGCCAATTATTACCATCATTTCCGGGCACACACTCTCAACCCCCAGACTCGCCTCCCCCCTTTTCCTGCTTGCTGGGCAAAACCACAGTCCTGGATTCAAGCCAGCTCTCCACCTACTCCGCGCCAGCACCCATGCACCTGAATGTGGCTACAGAAAAACAGTCACACTGACTCGTTTCACTTTCATTTCATCAGTGGGAACTTCAAGTGGGCCCTTAGCGCTGCCCATGAATCCCACTTCCCTCCACCATTCTTCTGGATTTCATACTTTTTCTGTCCTCTAACCTACACCTCTTTCCCTCAATCATCATTCTCAGTTAATGACCTTGCTTTCTAGTTCATGGAGAAAATTGAAGCCATGAGATGAAAACTTCCACAGTTTTCCCACCATCTCATCTACCCATAGTCACAAACCAGCATCTAGAACCTCTTCTTCACCTTTCCCTCCAGTACAGGGTGAGTTTTCCAAGCTCCTCGCCAAAGCCAGGTCCCTCAGCCAAGGCAATAGATCCCAATCTTGCCTTGCCTGATCAAGATCATCACCTTCACTCCGGCAATTATACCCTCTCTTCTATGTTATCAATGTCCCCCTCTCTACTGGGGTCACCCCTATAAGCTTACAGTAGCTGTTATTTCTCCAGTCTTACAAAATCTTCACTTCCACTGTCAGCTACTGCCCCATTTCTCTGCTTCCTTTGCAACAAAGCTTCTAAAATTTTCTATACTTTCTGTCTCTACTTCTCCCATTCTGTAGCAGCAGATACATGCCATATGATACATTTATATCAAGTTTATAAACATGCCAAATACAGTAAGACTACATACACATATAATCAAATCATAACAACACACAAGGTTACATGTGGCATATTTTAGGCTTTTGAGTGAGAGGTTCTCCCAGCCTCTCTTAAACTCATTCCATCATAGATTTTCCCTGGCCGGGGAGGGGGTTCAGTTGTTGGGAGTGTCATCCCTTTCACCAATAGCTTTTGGGTTCAAGTCCTGGTCAGGGTACATACCTAAGTTGTGGATTCAATCCCCGATAGGGGTGCATATGGGAGGCAACATATCGATGTTTCTCTCTCACATCAATATTTCTCTGTTCCTCTCTTTCTCTCTCTCTCTTGTTCTCTTTCTTCCTCTCTCTCTCTCTCTCTAAAAATCAATAAACATATCCTCTGATGAGGATTAAAAAATATATATGCTTTAATTTTAATAGTTTATCAAAATTTATAGTATTTTATGTTTAAAGCAATTAAGTATTCAAAATTGTATCAATAATAAAATAAGGATGAGTTTTAAAATTTTATTTTTTTGTAGGGAACTATGATAGGCTGATCAATAAAACTTTCCAGCCTAAAGTCTTATATTAAAATGTTCAGGGGCAAGATAAGGGGAAAAAGAATGAGGTAAAATTTCTTTTAAAGAAAAGCTTGTTCATGTATTTTTTAAAATAGATGATAGATGCATTATGATATTTAGATCCCCTTGGATACACTTAGAAAATGATGTAAGAATCTTATTTTAAAATGCCAACACTTGTAATGTGCCAGAAATAACAAGCTTTGCCATTATTTAAAACTATGATGGAACGTTTTAGATCTGACCTTTGAAGGTACAGGAAGAAACACGGTTTCTCC